AAAAAAAAAAAATCAAACCTAATCTGGTCAGACCTTTTAGGTCTACCAATTTGCAGAGAACACAGGGGACAGAGGAAGAGGTCGAAACAACAGCCTGGGGACGTGATCAGCAAAATCCAGACTAGGGAAAACTCTATAGGACAAACTCTATAGTTTCTTAAAAAACAAATATAATAAAATAAAACAAACAGAGAAAAGAAAAGAAAAGGAAATGATAGAACAGAAATTGCAAGTAAAACAGAGAGGAAAAGGGAAACCATAGATTTGAAAAGATTTAAGAGATATATTAACCAGTTGGGATGTATGGTTTGGATCTCAATGCGGTCAAACCTGAAAAAACACACAAAAAAAGACATTTTAGCCCAATCAGGGAAATGTAAACACTAATTCGATATCTGATGGGGCCGGCCCGTGGCTCACTTGGGAGAGTGCGGTGCTGATAACACCAAGGCCACAGGTTCGGATCCCATGTAGGGATGGCTGGTGCTGACAACACCAAGTCAAGGGTTGAGATCCCCTTACCGGTCATCTTTAAAAAAAAAAAAGAAAAATCTGATGATATTAGGAAATTATCGTTGATGGGGGGCAGTGATAGTTTTGTGGGTATATTTTCAAAAGAAATGCTTGTCTTTTAAATATATACACTGAAATGTTTACTAGGGAAGTCATACGATGTCTGGCAATTGGCTCAAAATAATGTTGAGGAGGGTGGCAAGGTAGATGCAACTATAAAGTAAAAAAAGATTGACCATAATTGGTAATTGCTGAGATAGGGTGGTGACTATATGGGGGTTCATCAGGCTCATCTCTCTACTTTTGTATATGTTGAAATTTTCCACAATAAAAATGTTTGAAAATTGTTCGTCAAAATTATTACACTAAATGTAAAAAAAAAAAAAATCAATTAAAAAGTCGGGAAGAGGGCCGGCCCGGGGGCGGGGGCGGGGGCGGCCGGGGGCGGGGCGAGGGGGGCGCCCCGATGAGCCCCGAGTGCGAGGAGCCGCCGCCCCCCTGCGCAGGTGAGCGGTCAGCATCGCGGTCTCCTGCCTCGAAGTTCAGACCCCCCCAAATCTGCCCCCGACTCCAGGTCCTCTTGAGTCTCCTCCGTCTTTTCTTTCTCGGCCTTACCCGCCGCCACCCCCTACCCCCGTCCCGGTCTTTTCTCCTTCTGAACTTTCCCTCTCCCCTTGGGGTTTCTCTCTCTCCGCGCCCTCTTTTCTCTTCCGCCTCAGTCTCCCCTGAAGTTTCTCAGTCTCTTTCCCTCCGTCCGCGCTAAGTCTCTTAGTCTCTTACCCCTCATTACCCCCTGAGCTTCTTAGTCTCTCCTTCCTTAGTCCCCTCCCCAGGTCTTTCCCTCTCTTCCCCTCTGACCCCCCAAGTCTCTCAGTCTATCCCTCTTAGTCCCTCCCTCCAAGTTTCTTAGTCTCCTCCCCCCTCCAGCCCACCCCCACCTCCTTATTTCACCTCCGGTGCCCCTTCTAGTCTCTTAGTGTCTTCCCCCTTGGCCTTTCCCCACCCCGCTTCTTCCTCCAGCCTACCTTTCCCAGTCTCTTCTCACTGTGACCCACATTACCTTCTCTGGCCCACTTCTCCCGCCACCCCCAAGAGTCTTCTTCCTCCTGGGGTACCCATATCTTTTCCTCCTCAGACCTTTCCCTCTCACCTCCATCTCTTTGCCTCACCCCCCCTTCACTCTTGCCAACCTTCGTAGACTCCATTGTCTCTCTCACTCTCACCCTTGGGCTCAGGACGACTGGAGTGGGGCTCTCCCTTGACTGTGGCTTTCCTGCTCCTGCTTGTCTGGCTTCTTGAGAGGAGGGACTTGGGAGCCAGTGTTCTCTGGGGCAGCCACTTGGTTTCCTTTCTGTGAGATGAGGCCTGCTGAGGGCAGGACAGGGAGACTGACACAGGGAAGGGAGTGATAAGCTCCAGGCCCTGCCCTGGAGGAGGGGCCGGTCCTTGGGGAGACAAAGGCAGAGCCGGACAGTCACAATTACTGTGTGTTGTGATAGAGGTAACTCAGGGTGCTACAGGAGGCCACAGAAAAGAAGGGACTGGTGAGACTGGCTGGACGGGTGGCTTTTTTTGTCTAGGAAGGATGAGTAGGAGCTGACAGATGGAGAGTGGGAAGAAGGGCCTTCCCGGTGGAAGGAACAACACATGCAGATATGTGAAGGTGGGAACGTTGGAGGAATCATGAGGCATCTGTGTGATTTAGTGCAGATGTTTTGGGAGGGAGAGGGGCATGTCCAGGGCCTTGCATGGAAGCTCTAAGGGGCTTTCTTGCTGTTTTACACGCATGCGCACATGTGTGTGTCTATGCTGAGGGAGCAGACACTACCGTTAATACCCGCTTGAAAGGCAAGATGTTTCTGGAAAGGAAGCTTCGTTGTCTGACAGATGTGGTACTGGGTTCAGAGTTGTATAGAAACTGCAGTAGGGTTGTGTCCAACTTAGGGTGAGGGTCTAACCGTCAGTGCACAAGGCAAATGTTGCAAGGACTCGGGATTGCCTGAAGAACACACGAGTAATTTATGTACATATCCTGTGTAGTAACATGTACAGTACATATGGGAATGTTTGCTGCACCCTGCCACATAGACTTACTGGTGGTGGATGATGTTTGGAGTTGCTTGTACTGTTTAAGATGCTATGCTGTCTTTTTTTTTTTTTTTTTAAAGTTTGCCCAGCGTGTATCATTCTGTATAAATTAAATGAGACCACAGGACTCTAGTTCTGGGATTGGGATGATGAGGAGGCCGTGAAGGCTAATTGCTTACAGCAAGACCTTTTGTCAGACAAACCTAGCTTCGAGTCCTGGCTCTGCCTCTCCAAGTGGTGAGGCCTTGGAAAAGTTATTCAAGTCCTCTGTGGGGATGAGCACTTTCCTCATAGGTGTTTCTGGGGATTAAGTCCGATATTTGTAGAAGCCTGTAGCAGAATGCAAAGCACAGTCAGTGCTCGAGAATCAGTAGTTTTGGGGATTATTATTTGATTTAGGATTATCTTTTCTTTTTTTGTGTGTGTGTGTGGTTGGCTGGTACAGGGATCGAAACCTGGACTTGGTGTTATCATCACCATACTCTAACCAACTGAGCTAACAGGCCAGTCCTGTCCTTGATTTAGGATTATCTATTGCAGTGGTTCTCAACTGGGAGGTGATTGTGTCCCCTAGGAGACAGTTGGCAATGATGTTTGGAAACATTTTTGATTGTCACAAGTGGGTGGGAATGCTACCAGCATCTAGTGGGTGGAGGTGGAGGCCGGGATGCTGTTCAGCATCCTACAATGCCCAGGATAGTCCCCACACCACAAAGAACTATCCAGCGGAGAGGGAGAAACCCTGCTTCGTTGCTTGGGCATTATGTATAGTTTTGGCTTATCAGCTCTGTTGCAACTCATGAACAGCTGTGTGAGTTGTGCATTTTGATTTACTTTAATCTTTTTTTTTTTTTTTTCAAAGATGACCGGTAAGGGGATCTCAACCCTTGGCTTGGTGTTGTCAGCACCACGCTCAGCCAGTGAGCAAACCTGACATCCCTATATAGGGTCCGAACCCGTGGCCTTGGTGTTATCAGCACCGCACTCTACCGAGTGAACCACGGGCCGGCCCTACTTTAATCTTTTTGATGGTTAGCTTTTGTTGGGTCATCTACTGTTTGTTTCCATTAGAGGAAAACCTGCTCATCTCTCTCCCCCTACTGCCCTGATTTTTCTTCAAGATCTGTGGCCAGATGTCCTTAGCAGATCACCTTTCCCCTCTGGTTTCAGTTTTCATAAATTCAATGACTACTTTTAGCTGTGGGCCTGGCTTTCTACTAGACTGTGGGTATTAGGCATCTTCCAGGAGGAGGCAGGTGACTGGTCAGCAAATCCTGTCACAGAGCTGAGGCTCAGATGCCATTATGGGGTGCACTGTGGAGATCCCTAACACAGTCAGGGGAGGCTTCCTGGAGGAATTGGTGTCTGCACGGAGGCCTGAAGAACCCAGGAGGAGCTAGTCAGGCTTGAAGAGCTTAAGGGAAGGCAGAGGGAGCAGCCTGGCCAGGGCTGAGAGCAGTCAGGTGTAGCACGAGTGTTGAGCACTGTGCGAGTTGCAGCAAGGGATGAGGTGAGAGAGGCTTGGGGGCTTTGGTGAGAGTGAGAAGGCTTCCCCATAATTGCCCCACACCCACCTGACTTGGTGGTGACATGCTGTCCTTTCCATGACAAACCATGGTTTTCCCTTTACACACTGGTTTTATGGGTCCTTCTTTAGGAAGTTCTGCCTTACAATAGTCCCATCTGTGAGGTTTTTCCCAGATGAAGAAACTGAGGCTCAGTGGGGTTAGGTTGTTAGTCCAGGCCACACAGAGATTTCATTTTAGAGAGGTAAGATTCAAACCAAGCCATTCTGACTTCAGATCATGCTGTAACACTCACTCTCTCCCCCTGTTTTTCTAAGGGCTACTTCACTTTTTTTTTTTCTTTTTGGCAGCTGGCTGCTACAGGGATCAAACCCTGTACCTTGGTGCTATCAGCACCGTGCTTTAACCAAGTGAGCTAACTGGCCAGTCCTCCAATGGCTATTTCAAAATCTAGTCATTGATCTTTTCCTTTTTTCCTTTAAATCTGTGACCAATCCAGGAGATAAATCCTGAATGCGAGTGTTTGAGCCACCTTCCCAGACCTTGGCTAAGTGTCCCTAAGTTTCTTTTGTTTCCTAATTACTGAGTCCCCTGGGGTTGGACCAGAGTTGCCACTCCCCTTGGGAGAGTGTGGTTCTGAGGTCAGGAGGGGAGGCACCACCGGTGCCTCTAACTGAGGACCCTCCCCCAGGCTTTCCCAAACCATGGGAAAGTCCCAGCTTGTCGTCCTGTGTGGCGTGGTCTCTACTTTTCTGGCCTCAGTGGCCCCTTCTCCCAAATGAATGTCCCTGATACTTACCTTACCCGGGTGGTATTGGGTTCTGCAGCTGTCACAAACTGTTGGTCTTATTCAGAATTTGTGGGGTTGCCCTTACCATCACTCCATCCTTGGTTGCCCTTACCAACTCCCTTTCCAGATTTGGCCAAGAGTTGACTGTGCATTGTGGGAAGTTGGAGGTAGTTTGAACTGCCGGGCCCTTTAAGGAGCTGGGTGCTGGCTGGCCTGATGCTGGTAGCAGGATCTGCTGGTCCTGATGCTGGTGGCTCTGTTAAGCCTTGGGGCAGCTCAGGTGGCTGTCCCCAGAGGCCTCTGTGCCCTTGACCTCCATTTCTGTGTGCCTGGATGCCAGGGCAGATTAGGAGGGTTTGGCAGAGCAGGTTAAGAGGGTTTGGCAGATAAAGGTCCCACCCATGGGTTCCCTGGCAGGCTGAGCTGTGTTTGGATGGGTGGCAGCAGCAGCAGCAGCAGTAGTAGTGGGGATGGCCCTGTGGAGCTGCAGTTAGGCCCTGCCTGAGCTGGGTAAGGGGAAGGGACTGGTAGCCTCCTGAGGGGGACAGCCGATGTTGAAGGCCTTACAACAACACAGCAAATGAGAAACCAGAAGCAAGTGTGCAGAGCTGGTGGAGGGAGAGCGGTAGAGGTAGTTTTCGTTTTTAATGGCTTCCTTTCTCATTTACAATTTCCCCTTCTTCCGTTTGCAGCCAGAGTCATAGTTTTCAAACGGTCGCTAAAAACCAGTGGTAGTTACTTCCGTTTTCTTGAAGTTGCTGAAAGTTGCAAAGCATAAGGGTGATGGAGTGTGTGGTGCCTGCCCCTAGAGTATTTGAATGATTTGAGGAAGAGTACTTGAGTCACTTAGAAAAATCGGTAGAGTCTCTCTCCTATTTTTAGCACCATCACCCTTAAGATAGTGACTGTCTCCTACCCATTCCACTTGGAAGTGTCTGGACATGGTCTCAGGGACAGCCTAAAAGGGGCTCACACCTGCCAAGCACCTCCTGTATCAGGACCACCTATCTGCCTTAGCTCATTTTCACGGCAGCCCTCCCTGATGGCTGTGTCCCTGTTTCACAGATAAGGAAATGAGGCACAGAAAAGCTAAGTGCCTGGC